TTCTCATCTAATTTTTTTAAACATTTTTTTCTTACACATCTAATTGGATTAGATTTAGACGGTCTTGAGATCGTTAAAACCATTTTCCCTCAAACTCATTGTAAAAGGTTAAGCGTGTTATGTTTTTTGCCGTGTTCCCATTCTCTAAGTTGATATGACTTGAATTGCAATCTTTAAGATAAAGGGATTATTACTTAATAGCCGATCTGAACCATGAACACGCTTTAAAAGGGCTTCATATTTTTGCGCATCCCTTATCTTGTCCTTTTATTTTTCGACGTACTTTCTGATATATTCTCGAATTTCTTCTTTCGAAAAAGGTGCTACCATATTTCTTAGAAGGAATTGAAATTTTACGAGATATAAATTTGGATTTAAGATTTGCACTTAAATACTTCGACCGACAACTAATACTAATTTTTGCTTCTGTCCATCCACGAAGTTTATTTTTATCATATAAATTTGATTGACGGTTCTTGATCTCATCACACACGTCCATGATAAACCCAAATTTACAGTTTTGTCTTAAGTATTCGGTAATTTCCTCAGAAAATCTTAGCTCTTTTAATATTTTTGAATTATTGTTTTGCTAAGATTATCTATAGCTGGAAGTAAAATAAATAAAAGAATAAATTTATAATCTAATTTATTTCCTGACGAATAATCATTCCAAAGACATTGAACCGATAGGGGGTTTAAAAGATGTACACGTCGAAAAATTCAAAGAGAGTCTTCGACTTTATTGAGAAATCAAAAGAAGACACTGATGTCGAAATCGCCGCAGCAAATGCAATCACAATTTTAAATAAAATCGAATGAGTTTTAGTGACAAAAATCCAAATGGCGTTTACATCGCCGGAGCGAATTTAAGTTACGGTTTGTTTATTGTGCTCAATTTAAAGAAGCCGATTTAATTAATGTTAATTTCAAGGGGGCATGGTTACAATGTGCAAATTTTAGTGGTGCTAATATGACAGGCGTGCAATTCGGTGAATTTCCTTTTTCAGATCTTGATAACAAGTGTTTATTGTTGCCGCTATTTCCCAAACGGGAGTTTTCTTGCTATTATCAGTGGAAAAAAAGTTTACCCATTATGATGTTGCAACGTTAGAAAAAATACATACAGTACTGTACTGTATTTTGAAGGACATACTAACCGTATTTGGAGTATGACCTTCTCATTTGCTGGAACTCAACCGACATCAGGCAGTGATGACAAGACGGCGTGGCTGTGGTCCACGATACTGTATATGGTAACTTCGTAGCTATTTTATACTTTACCGAATAGGTTATTGATCTTGATTGGATGCGTACAAAAGCGAATGACCTTTTATTAACAGGTGGTGAGGACAAAGCCGTTTGTTTGTGGCATGTAAAAAGATTGTATTATCAAATATCACAAGTCGCCTTACATTGGACTTCACGTTAAATATCTTATGGATTTATAAAGTACATATTCAAAACGTGAAAGGTTTGGATTCAATAAATATACGTCTTTCAAAACAATGAGGTGTCACTGAAGACACGGTAGTTTAACGAAAAAATGATCTAGCTTAAGTCGGTTGTTTCAAATTAATAGCGATCTTATTGTGATATTCTAACTACTGTACATAGTGCTTTATTTGTATTGTTAAATCATTATAAATTAAGAAGCATTTCCGATTATAGTACGTCACTTAATAATAATAATTTAAATGTTATTGTAGCTACGTCACGAACTCGAACAAGTAACCACGTAATTTTTACGGTCACCTCAGTTATAAATCACGCCCAGTACTGTAATTACAGTAGACGTGTTTAATGCATTATTAGATCACAATATGGATTCGCAAAAAATCACGTAGATCACTTCCCTCACCGCCTTTTATCCCTTTACGTGTTATATTTTATACCGCCTTTTATCCCTTTACATATTTATATTTTATACCGCCTTTTATAAATTCAGCAGGTTATATATGTTATTATTTAGGTCGATGGTGCTCACTCTCTATGTAAATAACGGGAAAGTAAATGAGTATAGTTTTTACAGGCGGAAAATTGAACATTTTATTTTATATTGACATTTTCAAAGATTTAGTGGGAAGGAATATTTTATAGTAGCCAACAAAACATTAAAATCAAGAAACCATGAAAAATTAATATTATCTTAAATTATGATGGGCCCTATCGTAAAATAACATAACGATTAAACTGGTTATTGAAAGGGAAAATGTTACCCTTTTCGTTTTTATATGATTTGGTTGGATCTGGAAATGCGTTAGTTCTTTGTTTGCTTTCCAAATTCGCGTATCAGCACGGACTTAGTTAATAAAAGAAACCTTGAATATTTGCTTATCATTTTGTTTTCATACCCTTCTATTTGAATACTGCTAGTGTTTCGAATATTTGATTGAGTGTTATTATTACATAGGTAATTTTTTTGTTAGATATTAAATATAAGCAATTTTTATGGTGATTAAGCTCTTGCTAAATTTCTTTCTAATTTTTTGGAAATATGTATGTTTCTCCTAGAAATCACTAGCGACGATTTTTGTATTTGCCGTATTAACGAAACACAAGTACGTATCTTGGATAATCAAGCAAAGCGATGAGTTTATTATTTAAGGCTTAAAATTTATTTAATAATTGGCAGAATATAATGTTATTTTTCTTTATATTGCTAACTCTAATCCTCTCCTACAAGCAAATCAACGCGTCGAGATAATGTGCCTTATGGCGAGCCAGAATATTTATGGTGAAAATAAACCGAATGATTTTGTATCAGAACATAAAGGGACACCGTAAAATATTTCCAAGCAAAAGGAGAAAAGCACAGGGGGCTACATAAGTAGAGGAATAAAGGGACGAAGAAAATATGAGAGGTTTGTCATATAATTACTTTTTTCTTTCGAGTTTTCTGCTTATATTTTTATTAAATACAATTGCTTATTTAGTGCATGAAAAAAGTCTATGATATTCTAAAGTATTGGCGGCTACCAAATATTTTGATGAGTTATATTACAGGCTACGGATAAGAGACTCGAGGGACATGTGAATTTAACCTTAGCAGTTGTTCGCCAAAACCTCGATGATCGAGCTCGTAAATATAATTTGGAGTGATGTAGACGATATTCTATAAATTTTTTAAAAATAATTTACTAAAGGATTTTTACAAGAGATTGAAACGATTATCGGTACACTTCACCAGGCAGATTTTCACAGCTAGTGAATTTAGGGAATAAAACTTTCATCCTGGAGATCCCATGAATAACGGTGAGCTTTCAGGAGAGATTGATGATGAACTTAAAGTTGCCGTAGTATTTGAATATGAATTTGGAAAATACGAAGTTTAGTACGAGGAAGATGACGATAAAAGTGGTGCGGAAGCATTAACAACAGGTGTATTAGGCGTTGATCAAGTTGAGGGTGATGATAGAGAGTTTCATTCAGGCGAAGAAAACGAAGGGTTCCGAACTATTATTGATCCAGATACTGCCAAATCAAATATCACTGGTGCACGGACTTTACAAAAAATATTTCCATGACATTGATTCCTTCTGGATTCAGCGTCTAATATCAATTACTATACAGATTCACTCACCGCACAAGAAAAGACGGCGAATACCATGCAAATACTTGAATTAGACAAAAATACTAGTGACCGCAAAAACGAATTAATGAATCTTTTTGGTAATGACAAATTTGACAAGAAATAGAAAGTTAACTTTATGGAGTATGAAACTTTCCAATGCTGGAACGGACAACATTAAGCGGTAAAGTATTGAACGCGAAATTTACGAGCAAGTATTAGAATGAATTCTTAAAAGTGTTGTCGGAAAGGCGTGGTTGAGAATGCAATGTAAATAGATGATAAACCTGTATCAGCATATGGTTCAATTTCTGCTCTGTCAAGAATATTTTTCCTCTAGTAACGACGGAAATATCAAAAGCTGTCATTGATTCCGAATCGCTAATGTTTGCACAAAGTGGAAGCTGCTAAATAGATCTCATAAAATTTCTAAGATGTTAAAGATAGCACTGATTTTACTGATAGTGTAGACGAGTACAGTATCTGTTGTTATCGTGAGGATGCCAGATGAAGAAATGTAATGGTGATAATGCATTTATTTAAGAAAATATTACAAACACAATTCTAATTTTGGCGAGTCTGATCGATTTCAAACCCGTGTAGTCAAGGTTCAGTTTTTTGCCCTCGGGCATCACAAGAGAATGTAATCTCGTAATTCATAACCGAAATCCAGAAAAATGCTAGGAGGGGAAACCTGGATATTCTTTGGTGAAATAAACAAATGCAATAACATTGGTCTTCTAGTGGACCTAATAGTTGATCGAATATATCGGGAGAAATCGATTTATCACAATATCTTAACATTTGCCGCATGTTGAATCCGATAAATTTGCATATTAAAAGAGACAACTTCGGTGACTTATCTATACTTTGTTAATTCTGATTATGTTGATTTGTAAAATTTTTTGTATTAAAGCTACAAATCGCTCAACTAACAAATGGTTTGACTGAGAATTAATTTAACTTAAATATAGAGTCAAAATCAGCTCAACTATATTAAAATTAAGCTGCGCCAGCTATTTGCACCACTAAACCGGATGCATTAATCATAAATAGGTCAGGTAAAGGTTAAAATAGCTTATAATAATTGGATGATTTGCATGAAAAAAATAGGATGAGTCTCAATAATGTAAAATGAAAGAGGTTCTGGTTTACCTACCCATCGTTATGCGAGTACCATTCCCGGATTAGCGATAGACTCGCCGATAAACATAAAGGTATAATTTAATTTAGCATTTAAAAATTTTTATTTTATTTTTTATCCTGAAATAGACTAAGAATTTTTATACAGGTACCATTAACATTTATGACGTGATCATACATATCCGTTAATAATATTTATATTTATAGTATTTAACTAATACATCAAATGTTCAATAATATATGTGTAGTATAAAAAGAGCCAATAAAATATGTAAGATATTCTAAATACTTATAATTCCACAACTTTAAATCCCTAACCTTTTCAGCTATTTAACGATGAGTGCATGATATATTTGCAAAAGGTATTAATAATTTACCCAATTTTGGCAAAAAGTATCAATAATGTATCCAATTTTTGACCAGTGATCAATTGTATGATCAATTGCATACTCTTTTACATATAATTCGCCATGATTTAAATTTTCCTTCATTAATTCTCTGTTTATTTGAAATTCGTCGATAATTCGTTTCCAAAAGTCTAATGTATAAATTTATAATTAGCTATCATCATATAACATTTTTATAATAACAGCACAGTTAATACTTACCTGATACTTCTTTCGATTTTAAAATTTCCAATCTATTCTTAATGCATTCCAATTCGACAATCAGACGATCCATAATCAAATTTTTATAGCCTTTTTCATTTAATTCTTTTAAACTAGTGTTTCCTTCATCTGCTTTCTTTATTAAAAATAAAAAAAATTAAAATTAAAATTAAAAATTGACAATAACTTGATAATAACTACGTAAAGTTACCCTCTTATAATTTGTAATTAGACGAAGGCGTCCTTTGGATTTTTGAACCCATTCGTCGACCTCGTTCTTTTTTTCTAACGTTTGTTCGTATATGTTTTTTTCCGTTTTATTTTCAATATTCTGAAGTGACTCTTCAAGTTTCGCAATCGCACTGTTACGAAATTTGTAAAATTCACTGAATAGATCAGCAAATATTTTGCACTTTTCGATGGATTCGCCAATATAATTTAAATGGGGATCAGCTAAATTATTAATTTTTCCTCGAGAGTCAAGATCATTCTTCCTTCCTTTGACAAATTCATTGTGATTTTTAGAAAAATACGAAAGAATGTTAGACGCAAAAAATAACACTTCTTTGATTGATACTCCTAACTTGGCCAAATAATAATGGATTTCTTTAAGACCATCTAATAAGTCAATCTCCATGAAATTGCCAAATATTTCCTTGGATAATAATTCAACATTATTTATCGTAACAGATATCTCATAGAAATAAGTCGGATTTATACTAAGCATTGTGTCAAAATCACGTCCATCCAATTGATTAATTGCAAACCCAAATGATTTTCCAAATACACTATAATAGATAACCTAGTAAGAGGAATGTAGTATTTCTATTTTTTTATGCTTTAATAAGATGTATTATATAATTACCGCCTAATAGTTATATGATTAAAAAATTTATAATTAATTTTACTTGAAAAACAAATAAGCATTATGTTTACTTTCTAAAAAATATACTTACTTCCTTAATAATTGAAATAATATGTTTAATGACCAATTATCTAATAATTATAAGAAATAAATTTTGCACTTACGAACTAGTAAATTAAGAATTAGCGAATTTAGATTAAAGAAATGCCTATTCACGGTGATTAATTTTATAGTTTCAACTTATATACTTACGATCTGAAATTTGAAATCAAAACGAATTTATTGTTTATACAATGGCTATAAAATAATATCAAAAGTACACAATCTAATACTTACTCCCTTTTACGCATAAATAATTGAGTTACTTGTTAACAAATTTTGATAAATTAAACCATACGGTAAAAGTCGTACTCACGTTCTGGTAATTAGATATATATAACATGTTGATTTTTAATAACAAATCTTTAATGGAAATAAAAAAAAAAAAACTTATAATTCCCGTCTTTAATTAATACGAAAATGTATATTCAATATACATTATTAATAGTAAATTGGAAAAAAAGTGCATCTTATACCCACTTTCTTTTAATGAGTAAATGCAGAAGTTTAATAATATGCAATTATTTCAAGCATTAATTCGTACTTACTGACTAATAATTTTTGAGATAAAACAAATCAATAAGTATTTGCGCAAATATTAAAACGCGAAAAAATAAGTAATATACAAAATGACCTATTACTTACAAACTTGCGATTAAAGATGAAATTAATTTTTTTATAATTAATTTTGATATCTAAATATCACGAGTAATCAATTAGATACCTATCGCATGGCAATTTTAAAATAACAATCATAAACAAATGATTTAATCTTTATACTCACAAGTAGCCAACAAAATGTGATTAAATTGTATTGATGCATTAATATTTAGATAAACTTTATACTTACATCCTAATAATAAATCAAAATATATTACTATATATGTTAGAAGTTATATTACACCCAATGACAGTATTTTAATTTAAATAAACTTGCGTCTATCAAACTATCTGACATTAAAATGAAAATTTTTTAAATTAGATGTAATAATAATTTGTACTCACTGCCTAATTTTTTGAAGCAAATATGTTAAATGATATACAGTATGTAGATATTTATAATAGAAAAATACTATACTCACTCCCTATTAATTAACATATAATAGAATTATTAATAAATATATTTATATACTTTTAATAAAATATGCGAATAAAACTTTACTCACTTTCTATTATTCGACACGAAAATCAATTGGCAATTAGTACATAAAAAGGTTTTTCAATAGCCAAATGAAGTTCATAATTACAATCTATGATGAAAATAAAACAAATTAAGGATATTGATAGTTATATAGTACAATATTTAAATGAGTTCCAGACTCACTTCCTGTAATTTAAAAAATAATCAATTAATACAATGCTCATATATGTTCTTATAATGACTGATAAATTTTCTACTCACTCACTGTTAATTGAATGAAAATAGATCAATGAAATTCTTATTTCAAATTAAAGAACTTCATACTTGCCGACTTTAATTCACAAAGTAAATTAACTATTAAAATGAGCATAATTTTAAAAGATTGTTAAATAGATAAACTATATACTTACAGCCTAATAATTCATCACAGAAATAATCTTATTATTTATTAAAATACTTATTTTAATATCCTGCCATACTTGCCGACTAAATATTTAACGTGAGGAAAAGAAAAAACCAATAAATTAAAAATTTAATGAAGACATATATAATATTTAATTAAAATTGTACCTTCTGTTTATTAATATTAAAATTATTGAAATTCGATAATATTTAAAATCCTTCTACTTTTATATGAACTCTATACTTACAGTCTAATAATTAACAGAATAAATTATAATTTAAATTTAAGATAACATTTAATATATAAAGTTTAAATAATTCTATACTTACTCACTGTTAATTTTAAGTACGGATAATTAAATAACACAACACAAAAAAAAAAAAAGCTTTAAAAAATTTATACTTACTCTCTAATATTTTAACATTCAATCTATAAAATCATTATATTAAACTTTAAATCTAAATTATTTACGATTTATACTTACGTCCTATTATTTTTTATCAATAAATAAATAAATAATTTGGCAATATTTCCATATACTCAAATGTATTAAATAATTTAACTTACTCCCTGTATTTTAATATAAAAATCAATCAATATTACTATTAATATAAATTCTGAGGAATGATATGAATTTATACTTGCAATCTAATGAACCAATACGAAACAATCCATTATTTAATTATAATTACAGAAAATTTGATAAGTCTTATACTCACTTCCTAATAGTTTAACAAAATATATCATCAATAACATTTTCAAATATTACTAATAAATAAATTTAAAAGGATTTTTGCTTACTTCCTGTTAATTGATAAAATAAATAAATAACACCTGTTATGTCCAATTTATTGAATTTTTAATACTCACGTCGCGCTAAATTAATGCAAAATAATTTAGTAACATATATAGAATCAATATAATTGATCTAATTATACTTACATTCTAATATATTAACACAAATGCTCAATACTTGACAAAATTTTTATAAATTTGTAAAATAACAAATAAAGTATATACTTACATTCTATTAATACGAAAATAGGTATATTAATGGTATTTTAAAAAACTAAAAATAAAATATTATTTGACACTCACGCCCTAATGAATAAAATAAATAAATTATCAAACAAAAAAATAACATCACAACATAGTATTACATATACTTACAACCTAATAATTGGACATGAAAGTCAATTTAATACAATATAATATTAGCGCAATGATAAATAAGCCTTATACTCACATTCTTTTAATAATAAATAAATTAATAATATAGCTTTATATGTAAACTCAAATGTAATAGTTATATAGGAATTAATAATACTCTCTATTGATTTAGTATGATAAATAGTTTAATATTATTTGTTAACACAAATAGAATTTTTAATAAGCCGTATATTTACGATCTAATAATTATTGAAAATAATTAATAATGTGGCAATTAAAAGATACTTACGTACACATTTTAAAAAAAACCATACTTACAATCTAAATGCATGCCATAAAAAAAAATCAAAATTTAATAACGTATAAGTGATTTTATTATTTTAATTAAGTATAGTTAATACTTACCGCCTTTTAATTTAATGTAAAAATTAACCTCAGTACCAAAAAATAATAAACAATTTACTATTATAAATATTTATTCTATAATCAAGAAAACTTTATACTTACTCTCTGTCAATTTACATAAAAATAATAAATATTTAACATTATTATATCGATTATTATAATCAAGCAAACTTTATACTTACTCCCTGTTAATTTAACACAAAAATAATTAAAAGCAAAATAATTAAGAGTTAAATATTATTTGCATCAATTATTATAATTAAGCAAACTTTATACCTACTCCCTGTTAATTTAACACAAATAATTAAAAGCTAAATATTATTCGTATCTATTATTATAATTAAGCAAACTTTATACTCACTGCCTGTTAATTTAGCACAAAAATAATTAAGAGTTAATAATTATTCATATCGATTGTTATAACTAAGCAAACTTTATACATACAAACTGATAATTTAACACCAAAATAATTAAGAGTTAAATATTATTCATTTCAATTATTATAATTAAGCAAACTTTATACTCACTCCCTGTTAATTTAACATAAGAGTAAATATCATTCATATCGATCATTATAATTAAGCAAACTTTATACTTACTCCCTGTTAATTTAACACAAATAATCAAGAGTTAAATATTATTCGTATTAATTATTATAATTAAGTAAACTTTATACTTACACCCTATTAATTTAACACCAAAATAATTAAGAGTTAAATATTATTCGTATCGATTATTATAATTAAGAAAGCTTTATACTTACCAACTGTTATTTTAACACAAAAATAATTAAGAGTTAAATATTATTCGTATCGACTATTATAATTAAGAAAACTTTATACTTTCGTCCTGTTAATTTAGCACAAAAATAATTAAGAGTTAAATATTATTTATATCGATTATTATAATTGAGCAAACTTTATATTTACCGCCTGTTAATATAACAAAAAAATAAATATTATTCATATCGATTATTTTAATTAAGCAAACCTTATACTTACAAACTGTTAATTTAACATCAAAATAATTAATGGTCAAATATTATTCGTATCTAATATTGTAATTAAGCAAACTTTACACTCACGCCCTGTTAATTTACACAAAAATAATTAAATATTAAATATTTCATATTGATTTTTATAATTAAGCAAACTTTATACTCACTTCCTGTTAATTTACACAAAATAATTAAGAGTTAAATATTATTCATATCGATTATTATAATAAAGCAAACTTTATACTCACGCCCTGTTAATTTAACATAAAAATAATTAAGAGTTAAATATTATTCATATCAATTATTATAATTAAGCAAACTTTATACTTACGCCCTATTATTAATTTAACACAAAAATAATATAAAGTTAAATAATATTCATATTAATTATTATAATTAAATAAACTTTATACTTACTCTCTGTTAATTTAACACCAAAATAATTAAGAGTTAAATATTATTCGTATCGATTATTATAATTGAGCAAACCTTATACTTACAAACTGTTAATTTAAAGCAAAGATAATCAAGAGTTAAATATTATTCATATCGATTATTATAAAACTAGATACTCACGCCCTGTTAATTTAACATAAAAATAATTAGGATTTAAATATTATTCATATCGATTATTATAAGTAAATAAA